ATGGAGGGCCGCGCAGTGACAGCGGCCGAGAGCAGGACCGGGCAGCAGACTCTGAGGAGGGCGCAGAGTCTGTGGAGAAGCAGAGGGCGACGAGCGAGGGACGGGCATCTGGCACAGAGCCTTGACAGGCAGCTTCGACCGATGACGCCAGCGCGAGGGCTCTGTCGGATGGTGAGAGGGAGAGGTTGGGCGACTTGGACGCTGCACTGAGCGGCAAAGAAGCTCAGGGACGGACCGAGTCGGCTACGATCGACGTCACAGAAGGAACGGGGATCACGTGTAGGCGCGTCACGCGTCGCGCGCGCGTGGCTCGCGTTGCGCGAATCGCGAGCACCGAGCGCGTCCACTCCAATCCCTCCTTATCCCTCTTCTCTTCCCGCCACCACCACCGATCCCCGCGCGCCCCCCGCCTGGGCCGCCACGACCTCGACGCTACTCAGCGCGCACGAATACGCAAGATACCACCCGAGCACGCCGCCAAGCCACCCCTCGCGGACATTGACGACCGGTCGCCCCCCTGCATCGACTTGGCTACCACCCCCAGCCGCCCACTCTTTCAAATTCCGGTCTCATCGCGACGACGCGTATGTCATAATAACCTTCTATGCATCCTCACGCTGAGCATCAGTCGATCGTAGTCCTAGATATCAATAGCGCCACCAGGCAAGGCCAGCCACCAACACGCGCGCACTGCTCCTCGCGCTGATAGAACTCCCCAAACCCGGACGATCACTACGCTCCTTGTCGCCATAATATCCCATCTTGCATACGATCAACACGCTGTCTTTGTCCCGCTTTAGCGCATATATCCTCCTACTAATTCCCGACAGACGGGCTTCCTTCCCTCCGGTGAGTACATTTCACCGGGTGCGCCCTATGTCCATCAGCGTAACGACAGCACTCACAATTTGCGTTTCACAGATATATTTTCACTGCACCTAGTTCGCATACCAGCATGACCCGCCCTCCCGCCGAAGTTGCCCGGTGGCTCAAACGCACTTATCCGCGACCGACCGTCGATCCTGTATGCTGCCCCCTGTGGAGCTTCTGCCACTTCGCTAACCAGTTCGCCTCGTAGGAATGGATCGAAGGTTGCTATTCCTGGATTCTGGAGGAGCGAAACCTTGATCCCGCGCGTGACATGCCCGCGATCCTCGAGCTCGTCAACGCCCAACTCCTCGCGTCGGACTTCGCCGACAGTATGATCCCTGGGACAGGCTTCCCAGAGAACATCAACACTGCGGAGAACACCGTCTTGCAAGGACCCATTCTCGTGGAGGTAGTCGGCATAATGGAGATCGGCCACAGCGCATACAGTTTGCTCCAAACTTACGAGTCGCGCGAGGAGTACCGCAAGCAGGCGGCTCTGCGGGAGGGGCGCGAACAGAGGAATGGCGAAGAACGCAAACCGATGCCGAAGTATCCGCGCTCGATGCTGCAGTTCCAACTGAGCGATGGAGTGGCCGTCTTGCCCGGAATTGAGTGCAAGCCGTTTCCCCAGTTCGAATTGGGCGAAACGCCGTTGGGTTGTAAGGTCAGTTCAACACCTTCCAGTGCTCCTGCTGAACTGTATGCACTCCAATTATGACCCGCTGATACGCTCGAAGGGCAGATGATCCTCAGCAACGTATCAATACGTCACAACACCGCGCTCCTAAAGCCCGACTGTGTCCAGGTAATGGAGGGTACCAAAAACGACGATAGGGATGCACAGCGCGACGCCATATTTTTCCGTGCGCTCAAGGCGAGACTAGGGTACGCCGGCCCTCAATAGGCATGTCCCCTCTACTAACAGATACTTCCTAGAGAGGACGTCCCGGAGCCTGAGCCTGCACCAGACGTCCAACCGGTACCCGTCCAGGACCCAGTAGCTGCTCCACGTCCCGCACTCCGCGACATCTCTCCTCCAGCGGACGACGCAGATGCCGTCCGCGCCAACTCACCCCGCCGGGTCGAGCGTGAGCACGACGACGACATGGGCCAGCCTCGCCGCCGGAAGCGACCTAGTCGCGTTGGTCGTTCTCCCACCCCCGACCCACCCCCGCGCGAGGCAGTGCTGCAGCGCTCGCGATTTTTCTCCAAGCCCGCAAGTGGCGCAAGTGCGAGTGGCCTGGCTAGCGGCAGCGCGGGCGCGGACGAAGACGCAGACGTCGGCAGGGTCCGCGTCAACTCCGGGGACGCAGGCGCAATGCGGAGCCTCGCCCGCGCCATTGGGCTTTCCCCACCTCGCGCGCCGCCCGTGGACCTACCGGGCAGCAACGATGACGAGAACCCGTTCATGTCGCCCACCGCGAATGGCGCTTCCAATGGAAAGGGAAAGCAGCGTGCGGAGGTCTCCTTTGGCGAGCCGGGCTCCGAGGACTACGACTTTGAGTTCGACATGGACGACAGCTTCCTTGAGCAAGTCGACCGCGCTGCGCAGGAGGCGCTCCTCCGCGGAACCACCGCCAACTCCACTGCCAACGCCACGGCCAACACGAGCGCGACCAACGGCCGCGCGAGCAGCGTCCAGGCGCCGCAGACGCAGACACGAGTGAAGCCGGAGCCGCGCAGCCAGTCGACGGCACGCACGCTCTTCACGACTGGGCTGGCGACGCACCGGCGCGGGGGCTCGGTGGCCGCGGGCCCGGCGTCGTCGAGCAGCGGGGCGGACGCGCCGATGGACGTGATTGACATCAGCGACGACGAGATGGAGGGCGACAAGGAGAATGTGCCCGTCCCGACGCGGCATGTGCGCAGACGCGTCGCGCCGGAGCCCCCGCAGGAGGACGTGATCGAGCTCTCGGATTGAGACGAACGGGGAGACTGGTGAGTGTTTGAGATCACCACTACAACCCCCAACTGTGTCGGGGTTGCGGAGGCCAGGGCGAGCGGCGTAGCAAGCGGCAGCGCGGACGTGGACGAAGACCGTGATGCAGCCGTCGACTGCGAGGACGTCTCGCTCGATTCGGTCCACAAGTGCATGCGGCAGGTCGGCGAGAAGGTTGCGGAGCGGCTCGCGGAGGTATGCATCTTCTCATTTCCAGCCGGTAGCCTGCTCGCGTCTGTCTTGACGGCGGTATGCAATGCTACTGCCGGTGAGCTCGAGATGAGCGCATGAAGTGCCGCGCGGAAATGCAGCGAAAATATGTGAGTGTGAATACGGAGGTGCAGCTTGCAATGTGCTAATTCCTACTCGTAGGCTGATGCAAAATTTCCTTCTGCGATGGGAACGCTCTACCGTACGTGGGCAGGCGTGTGATCTACAGGTACGCTAGTAGTCCAGCTACTGCATCCAGCTATACCTCACCTGTGCCCACGCCCGCGCCCCCGCAATGCCCTCCGCTATCCTTCGACGCAGGTGAGTCCCTCGAACGGTCCGGAGGCCAAAGGCTGACACATGTGGTCAGTACATACGTACGGATGAGACTGAAGGGGCGCACTGTCATGGTCGCCTGCACGTCTACCGACACCGAGCCCGACGACGGCGCCGCACGCAGGCTGTGGAAGAGCAGTCAGAGCATGAGCGATTACAGAGGTCAAACGCGGCGATGCACATACCGAGAGCGCGACACGGCAGACGAGACGGGTGAGGAAAGCGGCGGGAATAGCGGAGAGGGAGTGGGGAGGGGGTGGGGGATGACTCTACTCCGTCCACCCCTCTCAGCTTTTAAGTGACTCCCAGATGCCCGACAGATCTCGCTCGCCCCCTCACCATGTTTGCACGGCGCGCTGTGCGCTCCGTCTGTTCGGCTCACGTCGTGCACGTATCTCCGCCGTCTGCGCTGCCCTCGGACGATGGCGCCCCGTCGTACCCACGTACTCGCAGCCCTGACGTTCGCATTTGGTGCAGGAGTCTGTGCGCTCCGCGTCGAGCACGTCGTGGCAGCCAGCGTGGGCGGGCCGCCTCGTTGCTGGAAACGCCGCAATACACTCCTCCAGGCCTCGACGATGTCCCTCTCATCGCCAACATCTCTTCGTGGGCACGCTGAGTACACACGGGCCAGTCTCCCTCACGAGCCCGAGCGGCCCGTCTTCGCGACCACATCTCGATGGTATGTGCCGCAGCCTGCTCGTGTCTCCGCTTTCCGATTTGATGCGCCCCATATCCTGGACCGAGGATGCAGGCAGGTGTTCCCCACATCCTAACGCCGTTGAAATGCGTACCACGTTCTTGGTACCCTGCTTTCCCGTGCAAGACGGCGCCGCCCGCGTCTCTGCCGTCGTACGACACGGTCTCGCTGCCCCGCCGCTCATCGGGGACGCCACACAGCACGACCTCGCCCGCGCCCGCGCCCTCTCCCGCAGCCACGCGCCGCGTTGTCATTACTATGTTCACTCGGGCCAATGTACGTATCATACACTTTGCGAGTCCAGAATTGCACAAGCCAAATATATATTTGTCTCCGTGCACCGTTGCATGGTCGAATTCTGACACCGGCGGCGGAAATACGAAGTCCCTGATCGCAAATATCCGCTGTCCGGCGCGATCTCTCGCCCCACATTTCTGCCGGGGCACCGCTGGGAAAGGTGACGTGCGTTCCCCGCCACGCACGACGTGCAGGCGTGAGTCGACCGCCCAATGCCCGACGGCTTCCAACTTTGCAGCGGCGAGGGGCTCGATACAGCGGCCGAGTTTCCGAGCACGGTCGAGACGGCGCCGGGGCACGAGGCACGATGCTGGCAGACCCTGCGGACGATGGGACACGCCGCAGAAACGATGGGGTGCCGTGCAGAGTGTGTGCTGCGATTGCGCACGGCGGGCGGTCGTCGCGGCGCGATGAGTGTGAGGGCGCGCCCCCGACAAGACGTCCAGCTCGCGCGCCGATCGCACGCTGGGCAGCACCACGAACTCGATGGGGACTCCTACGCATTGGCGTGCGTGCGCGCGGCGAGTTTCAGCGGCATACGGGGACACGAACCTCGGGACCATTTCGCGCGATTCCATGGGCGGAGATCCGGCGACCACACAGGTTCGCGCGTCGCTGTCTTCCCTCGTGTCCTCCCGCTGCGAGCACTAACAGAATATGCCTGTGAGCGGTTACGTTAGCTCCCCGTCGCGGTTGAGCGCGTGTGGCCAGTCTGTGACACACCCAGTCCGTTCGCGGTGTCAGGCGAGTCCCTGCTCAGGCTTGATCTCCTCTAGAGAATCGGACACCGCACGTCGACGACGCGGCGCGCCGCTCCGACAATGCGACACCGTGATCTATACACAGAAGCGTAGGTGCACAATGAGTTGTGGGCATGTCCGAGAAAAATAAATGCGCACACTTTCAAAGGGGGGACCCTTACGTCACGGCACCGTGTGAGTGGGGGGTGCAATCTCGGCAAGACGTCGAGCTTGCGCGACGATAGCGTCATGGGCGGCTTCCAAATGTCGACGGGGAGTCCTACGTACCAGGCTGCATGTGTCCAGTGAGTTTCAGCGCCGTGTGGGCACAATGTATTTCGGGTGTCTTGCGCTATTTCATGGGCGGGAGCCTGGCAAACACAGATCTGCGTGTGCCCGCCCTCTCTCGCGTCTTCGAACCCCGTGCACGCGCCAGCAGTTGTCTGTTAACGTTCGGGTTAGCATCCTGTCATGCTCGAGCCTGCGTGGACAGTTTGATTTTCGTCATTTCGCGGGGACAGGTTTAGGCTGGGATACCCCACCTTTAAAGATATTGAGCTCGCGCACTGATGCTGCGGCGCGACCCTTCCAAAATTGAACGCCGTGCTCCTTGCACCAGGACGCACATTATATACAAGTTTCAGCTCTGTACGAGAAAAATCAATGTGCGCCCAAATGCGCGCGTAGTCGTGGTTTCGATGGGCGAAACTCACCGAAATGTCCGCCCCAGCCCTATCCCGTGTCGGAGCACGCAGTAATTTGACATATACACGCCTATAAGCAATCCCCACCGCTCCGCAATGCGGGCGGGCGCTGTGGGCCCCGATGTCCCGCACCAGACTGTGCTTGTGGGGGTGGGTGCTTACAAGATGTTGCCCTCCCGCGCTAACCCCGTACCGGCCGGCGCCGTTACTCGACCGCAGGTTGTTATACGCCAGGTAATACATGTCCAGTAAGTTTCGGCTTGATCTGAATAAAATAAATTCTCACGAGGTGGTTTCCAAGGGGGGACCCTTACGAATCCGCCAAATTCAATGCATCGAACATTCCTCCTCGGCCACTGATCTAAGTGTGCCGCGCTTTCGTACGTGCAATCGTGCAAGTATTTCGGACGTCCTGCATCATGTACACGCACATCAGAACCGTTTGACATCAGATAATTGTGCGGGAAGGTGCACACCGGACACAGCGACCCCTGACGCCTTCGCGCCTCCGTACGACTCCCCAAACGAGAGGATACACTCCCTGTGACATAGCCCATATGCTCAGGACGTTTCAGCCCGATCTATGGAAAATTGGAAGCCTGAGGCCACTTCGCGCATGTTCAGGTGCCGAAGTCACAAAACCACAGACCGGAGCCTCGCGCGCCAACGTGTCGCCGTGCCGTCTCACGAATTCACAGGCCCTATCCACGGATCGGGGAGAATGTGCTCGGTTAGTTTCGACGAGTTCCGAGCGAAAAGAAATCTCACCAGGTAGTTTCCAAGGGGGGTCCCTTACGAATTGTCCGAAATCAATGGAACGGACATTCCGTCTCGCCAACGCATCCGCCCGCGCTGCGCTTTGGTATGTCTAATCCTGTAGATGTTATGAAGTGTTCGCCCTGGCGCGCGCGCACACGCGAACTGTTTGACGTCAGATATCCATACGGGAAAGTGCGCTCCGGACATGGTAATCTCCCGCGCCTCCACGCTTCTGCACGGCTCCCGAAATGGAACGATACGCTCCCTGTGCCACGGCGCATAGTCTCTGCAAGTTTCATCCCGATATGAGCAAAACCGGGTGTTCGAGGTCATTTCGCACGCTTTCCAGGTGGGAAGTTACACAATCACGCACTGGAGTCTCGCGCGCCGACACGCCGCCGTGCCGTCTCAAGGATGTACCAGCGCGATTTACAAACCGGGGAGCCTGTTTCGAGTCAGTTTCAGTCCGTTTGGAGAAACATTAATACGCACGAAGTGTCGGGGGAATGCGCACCCCAGACAGAGTGCCCGCCCACGCTGTCACACGGCTCCCGAAAGGAACCACCATGCTCGCTGCACAATGCCGCTCATTGTCAGCTAGTTTCAGCTCGATCTGAAGCAAAATACGACTTTGAGGCCACTTCGCATGTATTTATGTCGCAAAGACACAAATCACGCACCACAGCTCTCGCGCACGTCGTACTGTGTTGCAACTTTGTACACACACGTCCGACGATGCGTGCACCCGTCCCCTGACATACGCGAACATGCGCGAACAGTTGAATGCCGACGAGCGAGCGCGAGACGGTCGGGCGCGCCGCTCCTGCGGAAGCGTCAACTGTGCGCGCCGCCGCACCCCGCCAATGTCTACGCGCGATGCACGTGAGTCTTGGCCCATTCAACGCACATTGCCACTCACCAAGTGCTTGGCTATCGGGTTCGCACCTCTCCGTTTCGACGCGTACTCGTGTGGACGTTCTGAAGTGCCTTCCGTCGTGCTGCATCTCACACAGACAGGCGATCTTGCGGACGAGCTCGCCGCTCCGAAAACACGACAGCGCACTGTAGTGCGTAACATGTTTCAGCGTAGTACGAGCGCAAGAATATACAGATACTACCGACAAGAAGCCAGCCATGCGTGCCGCCGCCCTCTCCGAGCATCACGCGCCGCCCTGTCGCCCACGCACGCATGCGAGCGTCCGCAAGCGTCCCGTAACACTCCGACGCGCGCGAACACCCATCGCGTGCGGATGGACGCACCAAGTCGACGCTGTGTCTCCAGGCGCGTCGGGACGACGCGGGCACGCCGTGCGCGATGTTGAGCTTCGCGTGCGGCCGAATCGAGCGCGCGCAACATGTCCCGCCGTCCGCCGCAGAGGACGGGACGATGCCGCGACCGTCCCTGAGCTGCCGACTCCGGCACTGTGCGCGCCCGTGGTCCTCGCGAGATAGGAATCCGCCCGGCGCCCGGCGCTCGGCGCTCGGCGTGCTTCGTGCCCTGCACCACGAGCTTGAACCTGAGATCCACGTACGCGATGGACGCCGGGCGGGGAAGTGCCCAATGACGCTCGCGGGCGCCAGCTCCGGTCCCGAGCAACGTGTTTGCGTACGGTTCCAGGCGTGCGGGTTGCGGGTCCCCAGATGGATCGGCGTCCGCCACCTCTCCGTGGGATCGTGTGAACCGCCTCCAGTGCTGGGGAGGTGAATGGGCTGAGTGCGCGTACTACGCGAGCGGGGCAGTACGTGCTGGATGGCCCTAGCGCGTAGTGTCAATTCGGGAGGGGCGCGGTGTTCGGACGAGCTCACCGTAGTTCGTGATCAGGTTAGCCGTGTAATCGGGGACCTGGCGGTACGTACATCACCCGTATTTGGCGTGCAGCCTACCGCACTCGAGCACGGTGGTCATCGTCGAAGGCTTGGGCCTTGCCGTTTGAAGGCGAAGCCCGCCCGTTCCTGCAGGGAGCCAGACTCGGGCAAGCGATAATCTGCAAGAAAACGTCAGTGGTTCTCGCGCAATAGGAATGATATGCAATGCGCACATGCCTAGCCCGTCCGCGCGATGCTGCCCACTCGTCCAGAAGGACGCGTCGAGGGCGCCATGGCTTCCCTGAACCGGTCTGCCACCGCCCTTCTCCCATCCCCGGCTACGTCTACGTGACATCTATCGCTCTAAAACTCTCTGCCGCCCCGGAGCCCACGACGCCAGCTGTCCGTGACCGCGTCCGCGCAGTGCTCCGATAGATGTCAGTTTGGGTGAGTGCCAGCGGCCTAACCTGCCGTCATTTCACTGCTCACAACCGGCTCCAGGCTCGCCTGACACTGACGTCTCGCACGTCAACCCCAGCGAGACCGCGACGGCGGAACACGCCATCCCGAGCGCGGCTGAGAGGAGGCCGCCGCCGTCTACTGCGACGGACACGGCCGCCGTGCAGCAACCACCCCTTTCACCCGTACGTGCGCAAATAATGGCAAACGGCCCAGCCATGGCAGAAAGTCGGCCATCGCCGCCGCGCGCGGGGCGGGATGTTCGGTCAAGGCTGCTGCGGCAGAGAGCGCGTCTGGCTTCCTCGGCTCACCTGCATTCGCGCCTCGCGGCAGCGCTGATGGCGCCGCGCCCGTCTCGGAGTCTGACGCAATCGAGGCGGCCTCGGAGCGTGCGGCGGAGGGCGGGTCGAGTTTGGAGATCTCGGAGTGGGCTGAGTGAGTGCGCGGCGTCGGGAGCCGTTGTCGCCAGTATCAACGTCCTTGTACATGCACTGCGGATTATATACGCATAATTGGCGATTTGTTGGGCGACATCCGTCGAGCCGTCCATGGCGCGGTGGTGGTGGTGGACGGTCGAGAGCGCGGATTTGCGTGGCGGGCGCCTCGAATGACCGTGCCTTCCTGATTTGGGAGATTGATCAGACTTGGGCGGCTGAGGCCCGCTCCTTCTTTCCGCTCCCTCACCGCGCCGTATCGCATGCTCGACTGGATACACGCTCGGCGACGTCTTCGGTATATCGGCCGTGTCGCCTCGGGTCTGCGCTATCTCGACCAGAATTTGGGCTTTTGCGCGGCCTATACGGCCGTCCTGGGGCACGCGCGGCGTGTGCGTTGTTGGTGGCAAGCCGAAACGAGGATCCGGACGTTTCCTGACGGCCCAGTGTGGGCACGACTGTGTCGATGCAGCGTCGAACCTCGCACTTTGCTGCCGTTGAGGCAAAGGCCATCTCGACTGTGGGTACCCTGTCTCATGGCTGATTGATCTCACACCGGGCAGCACTCTGACATGCGATTTCCAGGAGCCTGCGTGGGAGGCCCCGCGAATGTCCGGATATGCGAGTCTCCCCGTTTGAACACGGGGGAAACGGCTTGCTATACTCGGAGTTCGAGGGGACGAATGTCCGCCGCTCCGAAGCGCCCGCCCCTGCTCACTCGCTCGGCACCCAGCCGCGCTATATAGGCCTTGAAGCGGGCTAAAATGTCTTTGAATCGCATTTCCCCCGCCCGCTGTTCCCTTTGTGTCCCCCTTCGCCCGGCCACCTCTCCCGCTCCTGGCCTCTCTCTGCGTCGACCGGCTACGTCTACGCCGCCTACTCGGCCCGGCACCGCGACATCTTGTGGGCGAGAGGACGCCTGAGTAGGTACGTGAATAGCGACTGTTGTGGTGCCCGTGTCGTTGCCAGCGCGGAGGCCGACGAGCGTCGCGGCACTCGCCCCTTAGGGTGTTCGGCGCAGCCACATGCACGCACCACTCACGTCTCAGTTTCGTCCTCATCGCGCCCAGCGCTCTGCTGCACTCGGGCGTCGCTGAGGGTCCGTGCGCGGCGCCGAGCTCCCCACAAGGACAGTTGGTCTCGGGAGTGCAGGCGCCGCTTTTTTGCGTCTCTCTGGTCTGTCCTCGAGCGGCGGCGGGGCGGTACGAGGCTCGAGCGACTGGCGTTCGCATCCGGCCTCGTACGGCGTCGGGAGGACAGCTCGCTCGTCGGCTGTCGCGACGAGGTCCCGCACGGCGCTGCGGAATGTCGTCGGCTGCGGTGGGACAGTAAGGGCACCCTGTTACTTGCATCGTACGAGATGGCCAGTGCCCCGCGTGGTATGCGCATTGGAGTCGCAGACGAGCTCGGAGCTCGCCGCGCGCTGCACAGCTCACCTTGGGGGTGGGCTCGGCGTACAGGCTCCGTGCGCGCCGTGGGCACCGAGCGTGTCCGCGACCGACGCGGCGGTCTTGCGGCTGGGTGGACAGGGTTTAAGTACCCCGGCTGGTTTATGGGCTCGCCGCGCAGCAGGAATTGGCCGATTTTGCGTCCCCGGGGGGCGCCCTCGAACACCGAATGGCGTTAGGGTGCGTCGCGCTCGTTTCGCAGGCCATTGAGTCTTGGCCGCGCCGTTTCGTGCGGAGTGCGCAATATCGCTTGCAGGCGGGCCGAATAGACACGATACTACTCATATTTACCCGCAGAGATCGACACCGGACGGCGCGGGATTTTGCTTGGAGGAGGGCATGGGCGCGTGGGGAGTTTATGCACTGGGAAACGGGCGCTTAGGAGGCAGGGGGAGCGCATGTACTTTGAGCGACGCCAAACGACCGAGTGCGCGCGGTCATGTAGTTAGGAACACATATGTATGTCTACTCTATGTACATGTTTATGACACGGCCGCAAAGTCCTCCTGCTGGACCGTCCTGTATGCACCGACTACGACCCGCGAACAGGCCCGGCGGCCGCGCCCCCTCGCCCCCCCGCGCCAACCACGACGGACCACCCTACCATACTTACGATTTATTTCCCCAGCCTCTCATCCCAGGATGTGCGGCACTTGGCCGGAGGGAAGGGCCGGCGGGACGGGGCAGGGCAGGACGGGGCGGGCGGTCGAAGAAGTGCGCGCTTGCTGGGGGAGCCGCGATGGAGGGCCGCGCAGTGACAGCGGCCGAGAGCAGGACCGGGCAGCAGACTCTGAGGAGGGCGCAGAGTCTGTGGAGAAGCAGAGGGCGACGAGCGAGGGACGGGCATCTGGCACAGAGCCTTGACAGGCAGCTTCGACCGATGACGCCAGCGCGAGGGCTCTGTCGGATGGTGAGAGGGAGAGGTTGGGCGACTTGGACGCTGCACTGAGCGGCAAAGAAGCTCAGGGACGGACCGAGTCGGCTACGATCGACGTCACAGAAGGAACGGGGATCACGTGTAGGCGCGTCACGCGTCGCGCGCGCGTGGCTCGCGTTGCGCGAATCGCGAGCACCGAGCGCGTCCACTCCAATCCCTCCTTATCCCTCTTCTCTTCCCGCCACCACCACCGATCCCCGCGCGCCCCCCGCC